CCCCAGAAGATGAATTCATTGGAGACTGGACCGTGTAATATTATTACGGAAAAAAGAGTTGGTATCCGAGAGAACACACTATGGGAATTGGTTGTTTCCTGGTTATGTAAGGGATGCGTGGATATTAATTGAGGACACTGCTTTCTGAGGTGCATAAGTTCTATTAGCCACAAGCCTGGAGTCCTGGACCGAGAAAAATTCGTTGGAGACTGGACCGGTTCTTAAGCCCGCCATTATAGCGGGTAGTCTGGTGTTGTTTGACACCAGTTCTTAAAAAAAATGTTTTACTGAAGATTGTTGATTATTTCTTTTTAAAACGAGAGGGCCATTGCTTAGAGAGAGAGAGAGAGCGCTCTCTCTAGTTCAATTGATGTAAGTTTATTCACTTCTTTCTCATGAAAACATTCAGTGAGATCGAACAAATGTAATTACCTTGACTGTATAAAGAATTTGATGGCAGAAATTTTTTATCCACAGGTAGCCTTCATTTGCATACATGCATTCGTTCATATTTAATATATATAGTCTGAACATTTGTTGAACCCTTCCCACGATGTTAATGCTGACTCCAATCTCTGTGTGTGCAAATATATATAATTTTGGAGAATTATTCAAAAGTAAAATTATTGTTATCTTCCTTTCCAAAACTGTATATCAACATCAATGTACGCGTGACTGGTTTGTACGTGTTTCTTTCTTTGTGATACAGGTTGTGGAAAATGGGAATCCCATTGAAAGGAAGAACTGGTTTCCTGATATCAAGCCACTGTTCAAGCTCCTCAGTTATGAAAACGTGCCTCCTTATCTCAAGGTTGTGGTCTCTGAATTTTCTGCTATTCCATATTATTCCTCAGTTTTATTTTGTCCTGTTGTTAGTTATTATACATATTCTGCTGTATTTTCTGCTTTTGACCATCTTTTGCATCTGTGACTTGTAGGGTGCTTTGCGAAATGCCATAGCTACTTTTGTGCACGTGTCTCCACTTATGAAAGATGCAATTTGGAGTTACTTAGAGCAGTACGATCTACCAGTAGTTATTGGGCCTAATATTGGGAACAGTGGACAAGCAGTGGGCACACAGGTAGGTTTGGTTGAAATCCTGTTTGGCTCGCTTGAGAAAGAATTGAACTAAATCTGAACTTGCATGTGGTACAAGGTTAAGTTGATATGGAGCCACGGCTGATCTGAAAATGATTAATTTTAATATGTGAATTGTGCTTCACCAGAAAGCAAGCGCTTCTGGTTTATTGGTTTTAAGCTGTCTCATTCCTTCCTTTCCTTTCATGTTTCTTTCCCAATTCTTGGATATGTATAACTTAGTTATGTATTTTTAAATGATTGAGCGCAGTATGATTTAACTAAAGAAGAGGCAGAGGGGTTTTTCTGGTTCTGTTATCATCAATTTTATATGTATTTATGGTTCAATTGAAGGTTTATGACATGCAATTTGAGTTAAATGAAATTGAAGCAAGAAGAGAGCAATACCCTTCAACTATATCATTTATCAATCTGTTAAATGTTCTTATTGCTGAGGAAAGGAACATTAGCGACAGAGGACATAGGTATTGGCTGTAAATTAATTATAATGATTTATAGTTATTTTATTGTGAAATGATTTTGTTCAATGATGGTGCGTTTTTCTTTGTAGATTTATTGGCATCTTCAGATTTATATATGACCATGTATTCAGCCCATTTCCACAGAGAGCCTATGCTGACCCCTGTGATAAATGGCAACTAGTTGTGGCTTGTCTTAAGCATTTCCAAATGTGAGTTTGTTAATGGTTCATGTACTATAGCAGTTTTTCTGAATTCTCCTACGGAAGTTCGACTTCTGATTTTCTTTATTTTCACTATTATATGTGTTTAACATCCAGTATAAATTTTGCATTAATGACAATGGTATGACCTTTTATTTCCATTTGTTGTCATGTATAGGATGCTGAGCATGTATGACGTTAGAGAAGAGGATGTCGACATTGTTGTTAATCAATCTCAGCTGTCGGGGAAGGGACAATCTTCTCTGCAGATGCATCTTCCTGCCATAGAATTAATGAAGGTATTGGCATCCTTTTGATTATTGATATCGGATTAAGCCAAATGAACAGGCTTAGTGACAGGAGCCTGTTTCAGGGGCTGAAATGTCAACTCCTGATTGGCATTGGTTTTTTTTTTTTTTTTTCCCAATGAGAATTCGCCTAGTGTATGTCTGCTTAAAAACCTGTCACCTGTCATTGAACCTGTTTCTGTAGCAGGACTCATTTTTCTGTTATTGCTGTTAAGTTGGTCTCTGTAGTATAATCTGATCATTGTCTTATTAAACAAATTAGCTGTTATTTGCCATCTATTTAAGGTTTACATAATTCCTCTTTTGCCGCACCATACAAAATGAAGCATTTCATCGGGAGAGTGTGTTCACTCTCTTCCATCACAAAAATATTATACTGCTACGTATTATCTGTGTTGATCAACTATCCCATCTAAATGATTTAAGGAACTTGAATATTTTGCAAGGCTGTGCGCATTTTGTTATTCCTCTATTCTAACATGTTCTAATGGAAATACATCCTTGTTGAAGGAAATTTTCTTCATATGTACAAAGGCCTCAAATATGTATCATCCTCCTTTTACCTTATCCTCAACTTGTGCCATCTTCACATATTAGCGTATATCTTTATTTCCTATTTCATATATTTTTAGTATAGCTTCACATCCATATTAAGATCTTGTTTTTTTGTACGTTCATCTTATGGAATATTGTTATATAAGGATTAACACTCTGCAATTTGACTAGTACGACATACTTGCGCATGTGCCCAACACACGATGTACCGTTTCTAATCTTTTACATTTTTTAAGATTCTCAATTTCTCATTAGTTGGGGCACGATCTCGTTGCACTTAGGGTATGCATCCAGCATGTCACATGGGGGTGTCTATCCATGATGTACATACACATCCTACTAGGGAGACATGTCAGTGTTCGACTTGTAGCGTGTCATCTCCCGATGCTTCTTGGACGCTTACGGACATGTTATCAAACATATCATGTGCCCTTGTCCTCTTTTTTGTATATTTTTAAATAACCAACACTTGAGAAATGCTTTAGAGACTCTTTTCGGTCAACGGTCTGACATGCCATATATAGTGCCTTATATTAAAATAAAATAAAATAAAATTATATATGTATATGTATGTGTATATGTATATGTATAGTGTGTGTGTGTGTGTGAACTTAAGATTTTAAAGATTTAAAGAATTAAATCAACTTATACGTATCTTACTTTTTCGAAAAATCTCTCCCCCTTGCTTTAGTCACTTTTGCTGAAACATTGGAAGAATAATTTTCTTTTGACTTTTGAGAGGTAGCAAGAACCTCATTGTTGGTTGTGGCCTTTGGAAGTGGAGTTGGTGTATAGATTGTTAGATTTAGAAAAAAAAAATACTAGTTGGAAAGGATGAGGAGCATAGCGAGTAAGCTCTTGTTCAAAGGTGCGAAGCCTTTGGTTATATCTTAATATACATAAGAAGATCCCACGTGCTAGCTGATAGGTCGATTAGGACTCTAGGTGGTTCATTAAGTTCTCTAAATAATAGGGCTTTAGCATTCTTGCTTGACGGGTTTGTGTCTATGCAACTTAGGCATGCGTTATTGGAGTAAGTAATTCAACATGGTATCACATCATACAAAGTCCACGAGTCCATGTTTTCCAGCCCATTTAATGAAATTTTGCACATGCAAGATTTTGATGGTTAAAAAATAAACCCACCTACATGTGAGGGAGTGAGTTGAAGACAATTTATAAATGATACATACGTGGCCTTTCATGATCTCTTAAGCTTTTAGATCTAGTTGTTTAACATATATGTATCTATGTAGGTAGTTAAAGTTCCTTAAACTTTTGACACATGAGGGACATAGCTTTGACATGACAAACCCTATTTTATGAACTTTGGAATTTAGTTTAGGCCAAATTTCAATTATAAAAATGTTTTAAGGTGTAAAGTCAACATTGAACTTTAATTTTGGTTGAAGTTCGACAACTTTTCAAAATTGAGGAGTTGATTGCTGATTTTATCTTTTCTTTGGTGTTTTGGCTGATTTATTGTTTAACAATTTGGATTTTTTGTAGGACTTTATGAGCGGTAGAACCGCTTTTCGGAATATAATGTCAATTCTCCTACCGGGAGTCAATTTTTTAATCACTGAGCGTGCCAGTCAAATTTATGGGCAACTTCTTGAGAAGGCTGTTCTCCTATCTTTGGAAATTATAATTCTTGTGATGGAGAAAGATTTGATTGTTTCTGACTTCTTGCGCCCTCTGTATCAGGTATTGTCTCAAAAGATTTTCTTCAAGCCCTGGTTATTTATTAGGCCTTGAAACATAATATAGAAGCCCAATTTGTGCTTCTTTCAATTTTGACGATATCTCATATAACTGAAGATTAACAATTTAAGCATTCTTCATGAGGCTTGCTTTATAGTTTGGTTTCATATGATAATGCAAGTCCATGTTGCCTTGTAGTTGTTGGCTTAGCTTTGCTATCATGCTTATCTACTAATAAAGTTTGTGAGTCTTCAACTACGTTGAACACAGTAACTGATTACCTATGCTTACAATTGCAAACATTGTTCTCTATGGTTAAAGATTTTTTAGTCTTCAACAAAATTTTGAGGGTGTAGTACTTGTGATCCTTCTAGCCTTACCCAGGACAAGAAATAGAAAAATGAAAAAGAAAGAAAGCACACCAACATGCACCAGCATCTGCCTATGAGTATTTGCACAAAAACACAAATCCTGCATGGAGTTTAGACATATCCGTTTGGGTATGTTTCCATTTAATTTTCTCTGTCACGGAGATCATGAAATTGTTCTTGGTTTGCTTGCTGCACATTTCATCACTTCTGAAGTGCTTTTCCCAATGATTCTTTGTCTTTCCCTTGTTCAAGTTCTCAATGGTTATCCTAATAGTTACTGACAAAGTTTTCCGAATTTCTATTTACTGTACTTCATGTCAAACTTATAGATTATATTTCTTATGGGTTTTTTGTTATGCAGCCTTTGGAAGTCATACTCTCCCAAGATCATAATCAAATTGTAGCTTTATTGGAATATGTCAGATATGATTTTCTACCTCAAGTTCAGCGATGTTCGATCAAAATTTTGAGTATTCTAAGGCAACTTTTCTTTATGTTCTACATTTTCCCTATCTTCTCCTATTATCGACACATTTGGTAATAATGTTTTAAGACCATAATAATAAGATGTTGCTGGCGTGGCAGTTCTCGCATGGTTGGGCTCTCACAGTTGCTATTGAAGTCTAATGCTGCTGGGGCTTTGATTGAGGATTTTGCTGCCTGCTTAGAGCTAAGATCCGAAGAGAGTCAGATTATTGAGGAGAGCAGCGAAGATCCTGGTGTTTTAATAATGCAAGTGAGTTTTTATATTTGCCATTCCTAATTTGAGCCATTTTGTCAAAGATCCGACTTTTATTTAATCTAATCTTCAAATTTGGAATCACACCGAGAATCAAAAATCTAGTTTTTATGATTAATGGTTCTCAGAATATGAATGAAATAGGGAGAAACCTTGAATATACTCCAATAATAATATGGAATCTGCTAATTGCAACTTCTATAGAACAAATGTGTCCCAAATATAAGGTTCCTGTATTTGAATCTAAAAATTTGTTGTCCTGGACCTACTATGATCTAATTTATTTTAGCATTTTTCTAGATTTCCCATATTGCATTCTAGAATCACTGTCATAAATGTAGCTCGAATATCTATGAATCCGTTAACCAATGTCATGGTTCATTCAGCAAATAAAACTGACAATTTTAACTTAAGATCCACTATATTATGCTTACCATACTGACAGTATTGGCTCCTGCATGCTAGATTAATGCTAATGGCCTTGTATATGGGTGTCCATTTGTGAGGGACTTTGTCGTGTTTGTGGAGAATCAAGTTTACAGCTCAATGATTTGGTTGAAAAGGCATCTTGACCTAGGGCATGAATACAGGAACAAATTATTCGTAACATTATTAAGCTAATAATTTGATGCTAAATTATAATATTGACAAAAAAAATATAGTACTGTGTTTCCAAATAGAAGAGATAATATTAACTGAAAAAAATATCAGGAAAAACTCATCTTTTTACTTTGGTCGTAAATTTTTGTTGTGGCTTAGTAATTTGAGTTGTATGAGGTGTCGGTCCATTGTTGTCTCATTCTCTAGGGAGAAATGTTGAGGTGTTGTATTGTCTCACAGGCAGACAGACTCTCCGTAGAAATCAAAGTGTGGAGTTAACATAGCTTATATGTGATCTAGTACAACATCTGCTGTCCTTGTAGAACTTAATAGCAGAAATGACTGCACCTATCTCTGTGGTTGTTTCTTCTTGACAACTATGTTAGTGGGCATTTCTCTTTGTAGAGACCTGAATAGTGGCTGACCTGTATAAGACGAAAGTTTTTCAATATCCCAATCTTTTAAATTAACTGTTAGAATATAGCTCTGGTATCATTCTCTATAATTGCAATTTGTAAATAATATATATTAAATAATCTGGCGCCACTGTAATGTCTCTAAAATTTTTCATAATAAAATTATAAATATCTTGTAGACAACAACTGTAACACGTGATTCTATAACACATGTTTTCCCCTTCAATAGATGATTTTGATACTTCATTTTCTCATCCAGTGTACTCCCGCCAAACCAAATACTACAACTAGAATATTTTGATGATAGACTCATATTTTTTGATACTTGATCAATACAACTGCTCTTTATAAAAAGCGTTTATAGACATTACAAATCTCCTACAATGCTAGATGTAAATGTAAAATACAATGCTTAAGTGTGCTGATATATGAATCACATTTCTGGAAGGTGGACACACTGGCACGTGGCTTTCAATAAAAAATAAGGACCTTGACAAGTGCATATGTTGTATTTTTATTTTATTACTTTATTTTACTTTCCATTGAATTTAATGATCTTTTATCTTTAATTTTGAATTTTTCTTGTGAAATCTTTTGTATATAAAGAGTGACTATTTCATCAATTTGTTATTACCCTTTACCGGTGGAAATGAAATAATATTATTGTTTTATCAAAAATCGTATAGCTTTAAAAAATTTGAAATGAAGTTTATATAATTAATTTCACATTATATTGATTGTTTTACACACAATTTTGATCGTTTTCCTAATTTTATTATCTAACATTTATAAAAATGTGGCATGTTGTGTCCCTAATGAATTGAGGACATTTATCTCACGTGCAATTGTTCTTATAATTTATTTCTTCTTGTAGCACCGCTTTCATAGTTTTACTTTTAAAACCATGTATTTGTTCTTTTATCTTTGCCCTCATAAATTCTTAATTAGATTTCCTCCCATTCTCTCTTATATTTCCTTCTCCAACACTTTGTCTTATCTCTTCTTTTTCTGTCTGTTAATAAGCTAGTGTGGAAAATTCTGGGATGTTACATTTTACTTTACCTGATTTGGCCATAATAAAGTTAGCATATGAGAAATAGACAGTTGACAAGTAACATTCTTTCTAGCAACATTTTTGGCATTCTTCCCCCAGGCACACTTATGTCTTGAGGACAAAGGCTGAAGAACTAAAATCCTTTGAACTGTGAGCTGCTCCCTTGAAACCTTCTCTATATGGAATCTAGTGAAACTACTGAGGGATGTTAGTGATTGCTCAGGAAATGAAGTATTAGAGCGAAGAAGACGAACGTGATATACTAATTATGCAGAATGCACCTATGCATTGTCTTTGGTGATTTCTAAAGTGTGATATATTTTCCATGGGCAGGGGGGAAATGTCCAGTCTCCTTTGCTTCTATTAACTGTGAAATGTTTGCTTTGTTCTATGCCTTGTGTCATATTCTCTCTGTACTTAAACTCGCATGCTACAATGGATAAACAGATTGCAGAAATTATAAATGATATTCAGTTTCGTGCCTGCAGCCTTTAAAGCCATTCTGATACAATGTCATTGATTTTTTCTGGGGAAAATGAAGGTTTCACTTAAACTGTCACTGTCATGGATTGTGAGATATGTTTAGTGTCAACCAGCTACTTTTATGATGACACATAGTAAGCCCCTGTTTGAGCTCCATTCCTTTAAAATTCATTTTTCCGTAAACTCATTTTAACTACACATTCTCCTCATAAAATAATTTTATACGTGAACCCAAAATATTTGCCTACTTTTATCAATACATTCTCCAAAAAAATCACTGTTAAAAACTTATTTTTTCCCTAAAATGGGGCTCAAACAAATGCTAAGTTGCTCTAGAAATCAAATGCATGGCCCCAATTAATGTTTACTATACAAGCAGCCATAATTGTTGGATACTTAAACCTTGTGTGTCCTAGAGGCGGAAAATGAAATTTTCGTGTTGAGGCAGAAAAGGTGATGTAGTACATTCCTACTACTAATATGTTTTTTTTTTTTTTTAGAAGTTTATTTTATTTTTAGTTTGCTTGTAATAGAACTCTTGTTATTTATTAGGATTATAGTTTTTAGAAGTTCAAGTAGATTAGAGTTTTATTAATTTCATAGTTTCCTTATTTCAATCTCCTAGTACTATTAGGAATAGGAATAATTTACCTAAAAATATAGGACCATTGTACAATTTTCATTCATTATCAATTCAAGACAAGCAAATTATTCCTTAATTTCTGCATGGTGGGAACAACTACACTTTAATCGTCAAAGACAAGGAAAGCAACGTGTGCAAACCTGGCCCAAGATGAAATGCTTATTGCAAAGGCGATTTCTCCCTCCGGATTATAAACAATTTTTGTACCAGCAGTATCAAAATTATCGACAAAATAATAGGACAGTAAATGAATACACAGAGGAATTGATTTGTCTGAAACTGAATTTCAATTAATTGCTCGATATATAGGAGGCTTGAAAGTAGTCATTCAAGATTGACTGGCTCTCCAAGAGATTAGGACCATGACAAATGCAGTTAATCTAGCAATGAAAGTAGAAAATCAGATGAATAGAACCATATCACGTACTCCAAGTAATTTTCGACGACCAATTCAAGAAACTTATGCTACTCCAAAGAGTGCAACGACCTCGAGCCACAACAATAGTAACAGCAAGGATACTTCGATTCAAAATTCAACACATCTGCTCCTATTCGATCTAACACCAAGGTAGAAATCAGACACAGCCATGAGCCAATAATGACCCGTATGCACATCCTAATATGGGGAAGTGCTTTCGGTGCAATCAACCACGGCATCACGCAAGGTCGCTGCTTGCCCTTTTTCCTTCCTTTTCGATTCCTGTTCCTCCTTGCGATTTAAGCTGTCCGTAATTGCCCCAATTTCATTTGATTCAAGTGTATTTTCTGAATTGAAGATAGTTTAAGGCGATGTCTCGACTAGACCTTTTTTCGTCCCTGCTCGTCCCATTTTTTTCATCATGGAATCGAACTACTCCATCATGATAGACATTGCCTTCTTAATTTCAGATTTCAGATCTTCCTGTACTTCTAACTGATATCCATCAATTTTCGTCTCCAATTTGCATGCTAGAATTTCCTCAACCATGGAGACCTCCTTCCTGCGAAATTGATCCCACATCAAACACTTCAATTCATCCCAAGTTCGCACAGGCCAATGTCGATCTATCCACTAAACCAATCCCATGCTTCACTGTTAAAACACGCTATAGCAGCTTCTATCTTCTCCGCTTTTGATAACTGATATTTAGAGAAAATTTCCTCAACTCTAGACAACCGCCACTCTGTATTGTCGCTGTAGAACATGAATATTATGAGTCGACCTTGGGCATCCAACCCCGAATCACCGTCTCGGCCTTCTTCTTCTCGTTGCATTATCATCTTCTCAAACTGATTCAATAACTAGCCCCATCTTCCCTCCAATTCTCTGCTGAAATTAGTTTCCATTTGTCCAAGAATCGAGGCTCTGATACCAATTTTATAAAGTCCCCCACTTCAACTAATCTGTAATACTTGAGTGGATGCTAAATGATTTGTTAAGAACTGAGAAATAGCAATCAAATTGCTGTAGTAGACACTCAAGACCAGATTAATTGGTATTGGAATGCAGATTTGTAATTGAGAAAATAGTAACGAGTTTACTGAGTAACAAGGATAACAGCTCCAAGCAATTCAAGAGGCTGGATCTCTCCTAATTAGCTCAACCAAATACTCAATATTTTGCCTGCTTTCCCCATTTTTCCCCCCTCCTATTTGTAGGCAATCCCTTACTATAGCCTATTACATTTTTATCCCTCCTACCAACTAACTAGTGAACATTCTAGGATGTCTTTATTGGGCCCTATCAAATTTAAAAGTTATAGAATTTGCAACTTTCAGCCCAATACAATGAAAGGCCCGGGAGAGTTATATGTCTAACTATTAGCTCACACTCATGAATGTTTTTTCAATCAGAGAAGTTGAATAAATCAAAAATGTAGTAGCTCTATTTAAAAAACGAAAACCATGTTGGTGGAAATTATTTATCTTTTCAAATTAATTTCTCTTTTCATTTCCAATCCTAATTATGCGATCATCATTTTAATTTTATTTCAATAACACAGTAAAATACTATATAAGTATTAAATAATTCACCATATGACAATAAAAATTAAATGTCCCCGAATTTAATCATTAATCAGTGCTTTTATCTATACAAATTAATTAATTTGAAAAAGTAACTTAAGTTCGTCAGTTTTGTGGTATATAATTTATTTGTCATTACTACCAGTTCGAACTTTCTACCTTCGACCCTCTAGCTTTTCCAGGTCAACATCTGGACCAGTTTTCAAACTTTGCATTATCCATTAGCTAACAGCAGGCTGGATTTGACTTGATTCTAATTCCATTACAGCAACATAGAGGATTTCTATTGTCTAAAAGTTCCATCATTACCTGAATGCAGCTGCTCATTGATAACATCAGCAGGCCAGCCCCTAATATCACGCACCTATTGCTCAGATTTGATGTTGATAGCCCTGTAGAGCGTACGGTCCTTCAGCCAAAATTTCATTACAGGTTATATTTTACTATTTCTTTGAAATTTATCCAATCTTTTTTCTTTTATTGCAAACATATCTTGTGCTTTAGTTTATTGTTGATTGACCAGATTTTCATTTCTTCACTTGTAAAAAATAACCTGGTGCTTGAATCAAAATTGTAGTTGTTTGAAAGTCATTCTTGACGTGGTGGATAAGCTTTCGAAGCCTGAGGTCAATGCACTGCTTCATGAATTTGGTTTTCAGGTTAAATTGTATTTACCTCATGTCTAACTTATTTATTTATAGATGAAGAGTTGACTTATTTGTACATTTGTTAGCTTACATTGACTTTCTTTAGCAGCTCCTTTATGAATTATGTGTGGATCCACTGACTTCTAGTCCTACTATGGATTTGTTGGCTACCAAGAAGTACCAGTTCTTCGTGAAGGTTGTTATTGCTACATCATAGGATTTATCTTTATTTATTTTTTTAGCAGTCGTGTTTTCTCTTATATATGATTGATCTTTACTGTTATTGTTTCTCTATCATTCAGCATCTGAGTTCAATTGGTGTTGCTCCACTGCCTAAACGAAATAGCAGTCAAGCACTTCGTATCTGCTCTCTCCATCAGGTTTTTTTATTTATCACTCTATCTACATCTTCTCATTCTTAGTACTGGACGATCTTAATTAAGGTTTTTTGTTTGCTTGCGCAGGCCATATGCATGTCTTTTCCTTTTTCTTATTTTGTTATAAATGGATACACAACTTGAAGGTGGAAGTCGATAGTTATATGGGTTATTATAGTTCTAAAACTTTTTACTGATTTAGAAGGATAAGTGTACTACCTGAGAGATTCAGAAGGGAAAAAAAAAATGATTAGTACACTTCTTGAGCCAAAAGACTTTGGCCCTCAATAATAATATTTTCTTTCATTGTTATCCAAAATGTGAATGAAGAAAAAATCAGCTATTGATTGAAAGCTATATAACTTCAAGAATTTCTTTCTTCTGAGTTTCATGTGAACAAATTAATTCTGCTTCCTGGGTTGTCTTGACTTCAAATAAAATTATCATGACTCTTGAATATATGTTTATGACTTTATGCAAAATTGTAGTGGCTTATTATAAATAGTTCAATATCGCTGATTATCGTTGATATTTCATTAAACAGATTTTTTTATGTCTACTAAATTTTCACTTTCTCTTTGTAGAGAGCATGGTTGTTGAAACTGTTAGCAGTAGAGCTACATAGTGCAGATGTGACAAGTGCTCTTCATCGAGAAACATGTCAAAGTATTCTTGCTCAACTATTTGGGCAGAGCATTGCTGAATACAGAAATGACGGTGATTCTTTCTATGTTCCTCAAAACAACAGTGAAGTTGCCAGAATTGGTTCAATTGGCAAGATTAAGGTACCAGTTTCTATTAGGGATTGCTTTATTGTATATTTGGAGAAGCATTTGCTTCCAAACTTGTTTCTGTGGCTGAATTCTCTGAAATTATTGGGGCTACTAGGGAAATGTGACAGTGAGATGCAACTAAGTATACACATTCAATATGAAGGTTAGAATTATCTGTACGAGTAGCAATTGAAACTTATAAATTTTAGTACTGAAGACTGTTCATTTAGAAATTTCATGGTCATGCCACACATGCATCATCTGAGCTTTTGTATCACATGATTAAGCTTCAGCGCCAGGATTTATGTCCTATAGAAGTTGGCATAAACCTATTGATACTTTTTGTCGAAGGAAGCTATGTCCATTTAGAAGCAAAAGTTTTTCTTTTGATAATGTAAAAACATTATTTTTTAAAAAACATTAACATAGATGAGCGGTATACACACCGCCTAACCCACTTCTACTCTGATACTCATGACTATAATTGCCATAATTTACCAGCTGGCCCGATGGAAGCCGGGAACTGGTCATCAGAGATGAGTCGGCCAATACTTTCTAGTTGTCATATCCTTTAATTGCTGAAAATTATCTTGCAGTCGATTGCTACAACCAGGTTGTTATTGTAGAGTAACGCCAGCCATTGGAGATTGGAGGTTGTGACACGACTGTGCAGTCAACAAAAATCACCATTTAGTTATTAATGATTAGGGGACTCCCATCTGCATCCAATATTTTATTGTCTGCGAACACACGTTTCTGGCTACAATTTAGTTGTGGTTGATTTTGGATTGATTCAATGTACCTTATTAAGACATTACATAGTTAAGACATTTTTTCTTTCCTAGTTCATGAGACCATCTTTTTATTCTCTTCACATCTGTTCTACTACAAATTATGGTATATAGATTTTACATATTCATTCAGAAATACAGAAAAGCAATTCTGATTTCATGGTATTAGAGCTAGGTTCTTCAGAACAAGGATTCATATCTTTTGTGATACCCTGATTATCACGAGCAATCGAATGACGGAAATTTCTGTCAATGGCAAAGGATCGATGTCCATTGAAACCTAAGAAGCACGGATACTTATAAACTCATTACATACTTGTATCCGATACGTATCCAAGTTTGGATACTTCTGACACCATTCGATACGTACTATAAATTGTGGCATGTAGATTGTATATATTCATTCAGAAATACACAGAAGCAATTCTGATTTCACATTCCAATATTTTAGGATCTCGAATTTATTTCTTCAATTCTTTATAAGAACATTAAGTTTGCAATACCTAAAATTTAAAATTGTTGTTAATTGTTAACATTATGATTTTAACCCGTCATCTTCGAAGGCCATTTTGGTACGATGCAGAAGGGTTCTGCGTTGCTTCTTAATTTATGCTTAAAAATAAGTTGATCTTTTTATAAGTTTGCTGAGTTATGGTTGCATGGAAGTTCATTCGCTAGATATTTTAATTAATGCTTGAATGTAGTACTTGTTAGAATTGCTATTATATTGTTTTCTTCTTCCTTTTTTCCGTCCGTGATATTTACTAAGCCTAGTTATGCATACTTCTTATTTATTACTCCTTTTCACCGTCCTCCTGACAAACTTTTATTTTATGTCCTTCCATGATCAGTGGTAATAACGCTGAGTATTTTTCTTTCAATGTAGGTGCTAGAATTGCTTGAAGTTGTCCAGTTTAAATGTCCTGATAGCACACTGAAGTCTTCTCAGTTTGTATCTAATTTAAAATATTCCTCTCTGGTAAGATCAACAATTTTTGTGGTTTTGGTATCTAGTTTTTCATTATCATTAACCCGACCCTACATGCTTTTTAGGCTGAAGATATACTTACCAACCCAGCAACCTCGGGAAAGGGTGGTGTCTATTATTTCTCAGAGCGTGGTGACCGTTTGATTGACCTAGCTTCTTTCAGGGATAAACTTTGCCAGGTGCGTTTCTGGTCTCTGAGTGTTCCCTTTTTTATTTTTTTCTTAATCTTTAATTCTTTTGGTTGCTTATCCTTTTATTCATGGCCTCCCTAACTCAATGGTATATATTTTTATGTCCATTTTTCCTCTCTCCACAGAAATGCAATTTATTTAATCCCCAGATGAGCTCCTTTACCAGTGAGGCTGAATTGAATGAAGTACGAGAAGTTATCCAGCAACTGTTGAGATGGGGATGGAAATACAACAAAAACCTAGAAGAACAAGCTGCTCAGCTTCATATGTTAACCAGCTGGTCTCAGATTGTTGAGGTTACTTTCTTTTTACGTAATTCTTCTTTTTCCCCCCTTTTTTTCCTAGTGTGCCACCTTCGAAAGGGATGGTGAATTTTATTTATTTATTTTTTTTGTGTCTCGGGGGTTTTGTTTATACATTTATAAATTCTTGGAGCATATAGTGAGGAATATTTACTTTAGAAAACCACAGGATGTTTGTTACATCATGCCATCTGTTGGGGATTAAAATTGTAAATTACCCCTTAACATGTCAAACAAGCATCTCATTTGATTCCCGGATTTGATCTATATTATTCATGTTTTAACCTTTTCCCGTTTTAGTTATTTGATTGTTTGTTTTCATCCCTTTTCAGGTTTCTGTGTCCCAGAAAATTTCATTCCTTGATACTAGATCTGAAATATTATTTCAGTGAGTCAGACTGCCTCATTTTTCTATCCTCAGCATGCATATATATGTATATATACATTGATTGTCATTGTTAATTTATTTATGTTCAGGTTGCTAGATGCTTCCTTGAATGCTTCTGGTTCTCCAGACTGTTCCCTGAAGATGGCCCTGATATTGACACAGGTTAGGTTGATTAGTTTATTTGATATATTACAGTTTATACGTCCAAGGGATTAACTTGTTTTACGATTTACTTTTAAGGTTGGTCTTACATGCATGGCCAAACTACGTGTCGAACGCTTTTCATTTGGAGGCTGCTTTAACTCGGAGACAGTAACGTGTCTTGACATAATTTCGACAAATCAATTATCCAATGGCGCATGCCACTCTATATTTTTCAAGCTTATCATGGCAATTCTCAGACTTCAATCATCCGAAGCATTGCGAAGGCGGTATAGTTTTAACCACAGTAATGCCTTTCGTAATATTAATGTGCTTTAAGCAAGATAACGATTCTGAACTTTTTATTATGGATGCAGCCAATATGCCTTGATGCTTAACTATTTCCATTACTGTCGGCATACACTTGATCCAGATGTTCCTCCAACACTTTTGCAGTTCTTGTCAATTGATGAGCAAGACAATGGAGATCTGGATCTCGAAAAGGTTTTACAAATTTGTAGCTAAATTTTCTTTTATTTAGACTCGCATCTCTTGACTTTAATGGTAATTACAAGTCATCTTGTTCAGATTGACAAAGATCAGGCTGAATTGGCACATATGAACTTTGCTATTCTAAAGAAGGAAGCTCAACAAATTCTGAACTTGGTGGGTGTCTTTTTGAAATTTTCTTTCTACTTTGGTCCATCCTCTTCGATTATTTAGTACTTCATTCTCACCTTTTGATTTATGACCATTGGTCAAACCATTTTTTATATATTTGCAAATCTTATTGTGAATCCTTAACACATGAGCCTAAGCTGTTAACGAATGAGATAATAATCCTTTTAATGCCTCGGATTTTCTGGTAGAATAAGTTAGGATACATGTAATAAGTTTACACATTGTCAAGTGTTATAAATATTCTATCCTCGAGAGGAGAGAGACTTTTTGATGAATGTTATTGAGATTTCAAAGGCCAGTTCTTTGGTAATAGATGATAAATTTTATGTAACAATACAATTCAACGCATCTTATTATTCAGCTCGAGGATCTGGAGGTCATGGAGTATAATGGTTCATCAACTTATAAATGTGGTTTGTGGTTTTGCTTGATTTTTTTAAACCTTTGTTTGAAATTTTGAAGTTAACCCTGAGGGGTACCTTAGTGGTCAGCTCTTGGGATTGTTCCTCAATGGTCACCAGTTCGAGTCCCCTCAGGACCACTGAGGTGAGTATCCGGCTGTAAATTTCAGGGACCCGTGGGATTAGTCGAGGACACCCATGGTTATCAAAAAAATCTTGAAGATACGTTCTTGGGTTATGTTTCATAAGTTAAAAGATCTTAGCAATATTTTGTCCCTCTGATCAGGTGACATTTCTAAGCTCAAATTCCACCTAGCCCATCACACAAGAAATTTGTAAATGTGCTATCTTCTAGCACTACAACATTTAACCTAATATTTGAAAACAGAAAATTGTAACCGCAGCATTGTGTGATGTACAATATGCTCTGTCGAGTTTTAAGACTTGTAATTCCTCCTCTCCTTATGTGCTGTTCAATAAACTCTTTTTTTTTTTTTTTTTTTTTTTTTTATTTTGGGTAAAAAATTCCACTTAATATTTATTTGAGCCTCGTAAATCCTAATAGCAAACACTTGTGGTAGAGTAAGGCATGTCCAATCTCAATTTAAAGTGAAAAAGGTGGGGTCGAGTAGTCACTGTTGGGAATTTACTTAACATGTACAGTGGAAAATTAAAACAAATTTCAATTTCCACCAGGAATCGTCTTTGTATTTAGATAGAAATTGTGATAAAAGCGATACATTTTCACAATCTGCAAATTCCTTTGCTTTATCTTTGTTCCAGTAATTTGGATCTGTCTTCCATAACTGTCCAATTGTCAGCCTCCAACGGTGATCCACACAGAGAACAAGATTGTAGTATTAGAATTTTTCTTGTGCTAGCAAGAATAATGAAAAATTTCTACAATTTTTCAAACCCTAATCATATTTATATAAGCCCGAACGAGCTTGAATGTAAAAACAAAAAAAAAACTGTTTTTTTTTAAAAAAAAAAAAAAAAAAAAAAAAATAATAATTATCTATCAAAAAAATAATAATAATAACAATAATAATAATAATAATCTCTTTTATCTTATCTATGATATTGGCTATTTATTCTTTATTACTATCCGATCACATTAGAAAAGTTCGAAAGAATGTTCCGTTGTTCCTCGATATACCAGACCAAATGGTATTAGCAAATTCAAGTGGTGCATTATATATTCAAGATTTCTATAATTGATATTGTTGGCATTAAATAAGTTTGATCGGATTGATCTTTGAATTCTTCCAATATCTGCTTATCTACATGCATCAAAATATATTGTTAATCTCTTCATTATTCCAACTATTTTCACCACATAACATATAAATGAATTATACTCATTTGTTTATTATAATTGATATTGTTGGCATTAAATAAGTTTGATCAGATTGATCATTGAATTCTTCCAATATCTGCTTATCTCCATTCATCAAAATAAATTGTTGATCTCTTCATTATTCCAACTATTTTCTCCACATAACATATAAATAAATAGGCTATGGACATGTATGTTCAAAAGTTTTTACATGAAGCCTTTAGTTCAACAATGACTTGAGGCTGTATTAATGGTATTAAGTTTGTGTTTTCATCCACTGTTGATATGCACCGGACTACTATAAGGATGGGTTTTTTCCGGTAAGTATGCTTGAAAGAAGCATTAACCTTATTGGTTGTGATATATTTCCCAACAGATAGTAGGGTAAAGTTATTTCTTTCTGACCCGGCAGCCTATCTCCCCCAGGGATGGAGGCTCCTCCCTCAAAATCAAACCAGCCCAGCCACCACTGACACCAACCAGCCTAGGTGTCAACAGTGGACCCATGACTGGAAATCCCACTAACCTCACGCCACAAAACCTTAGCAGGCGGCGGCTAACCCTTGCAACCATACCACTGCCTCTCCTATCTATAACGCGCCAGCATATGGAGACATGGTTGCCCAAGGTGCCACCATCCATGTCTAACGATCAGAGTAGTTCAGTTCGAGCGAGAGAGAAGACAACCAAGCATCCACTGTCCGCCTATTCTCCAACGACTATCCGGCCACACGTGCCTGTTCGGTTGTCCGTGCAGGCCTTTCTGACGTCAGCCAGGCAGTAGTGCCCACGCGCCGTCGTCGAATAGACTGCAGATCCCTCATGCTGTGACTAGGACATGCCAACCATCGATTTTATCGTCTGTTGCCTCGATTGCACATCAGTGGAAGTATGATGCAAATAGAGTGAAGGTGTTTAGTTCTTGATTCGGAATTGAGGCAATGGAGATCGTAGTGTCTATTTACGAATCAGGCGTTGTTAAACTATCAGAATGGGGAGCGAAGATTTCAAACGCAATTTGCATGGGGAGATTTGGAGCTGTTTGGATGGTGAATTTGGTGGAGAAGGTGATGGCGTCTAGAAAGACGGAGGATTTGATTGCGAAATTCAATGAGTCCTCTTGAGCTTTTTTGGCACGATGCTGTGCAAACAATCGTAGGTAGGTATATGATGATAGCACAATATGGGGAGAGACGTCGGAAAGGAGTGGTGATGGTGTCGGAAGAGGAGAATGGAGATGGCTGGGCCTCGATTTCGCTTGTGTTCCCGACATTTATCGATTCTTTTGTTACCGGAGACAAGGTTAAACATCAAATAGTCGAAGAAGGGAGCTGACAAGGGATGACTTATGCCAGAGTTACGGCAAACTTACAAAGGGCGACTAAGGAGAGAAGTGATCCAGAGGGCGGCTAAGCAAATCTTCGAGACCTAGTAAGGAAAGACTAATAAAGGTGCATGAGTCTTAGGAAACGAATACAGAGATCACATTTGATAGTTTCTTGAATAGTGTTGAAATAAAAGCCCACATCCAGGTGTTGAAAGCGGAATTGTATGAATTAATCAAGTTAATGGATAACGGGACCGTGGTGGGCTCTAGGAAAACCTATTGTCATAAGTGTGGGTTGGGCGTGGATGAGTATCTTGCCAATGAAGAAAAGGTAGCAAACTTGGATTCTAAGGTGTTGACATCGAACTGGAGCCACACTAAAGAGTTACTGGCTGAGCCTAGTGGCGAATCCCAAATGCGGACTAGAGCGGTGGTGGTGGAACCTTGGGCTAAGGAAGGGGAACTCAGTAAGTTGAATCTGGAGAAAGAGATACTGGATACAACAAAAGACAGTTGTTACATGATTGTTGGCATGGTGAACACAAGGTAGTAGAGGGATTAGTGTTGGTAATGAAGCAAGAGACTGGAATTGTATTGGCAGATATTCCAACCTTGGGAGTTGAGAAACAGCAAGGGGCGATAGGTTCAACAGCTATGATTGTGAACACCTATTGTAGGAAATTCCAGGTCTACAAAAGAGGGGGACTTAGGGACTAATAAAGCTTTGGTGGTATAAGCTGATGGTGCTGAAAAGGAAGATATAGATAGAGATGTAGTATAGGCAGAAGAAAAGGAGGGACACAACTAGGATCTTCTCTACGCCGAAGAGATGGTGGAAGTTAAAGTGGTTGACATTAGACCTCCGGCGTTTGAGTTGGATTTTTTAAAAAATTCTGAATTTTAGCAAAATGGCGGTTGTGACCTGTGATGGGTATGAAATTGGCTATTGCAATTATTTGAGGAATTGGAGGCTAGTAGGAAATAGGGGATGGGTATACTAGGGGAGAAGACAAGAAGAAAGGGTGACCATTAGCTCAATCTGCTCGAATGCTCAGTTAATTATGACGTTAAGGGGGGGAAATCAAGGAGGGTTGATGGGGAGGGCTGGCAGAGTGTTTAGATGATCCCAAAAATAATTAGTTGGAACGTGAGAGGGCTTGATGAAGTTGGAAAAAGGTTAGATGTTTGAAATTTGTTAAGGGGATGGAGAGCTGACCTTGTATGCCTGCTAGAAACTAAGTTGGAGGTCGTTTCGAAGGCTATTGTAAGCAGTCTTTTGGGGGGGGGTGGGGGACAGCATGTTGGGTATCAATATGTGGGTTCAGGGGGGCTTCGAGAGGAGTGTTAGTGATGTGGAACACTAGAGTTTTTGATATAGAGGAGGTCAATGAAGGGATATTTTCTTTATCGCTTTTATTCAAAAATATTGGGGATAGATTTATTTAGATGTTTATAGGAGTTTATGGGCCTAATGCTAATGAGAGTAGAGGTGGATTGTGAGATGAGTTGGCTGGTATGATGGCTTGGTGGAACCTTCCAACGTGTATTGGGGGGATTTTAATGTTGTGCAATTTTCTACTGAGAGATCTAGCAGTGGGAGATTAACAAGGGCAATGGAGGACTTTGGTTTTATTAGGGAAAAATATGTTGGTGGACCTCCCTTTGATTGAGGAGACTTTACTTGGTCATATAATAGGGGGATTTCACTTGGAAAAGAAAATGTTTCATACTAATGGATTCGGGTCCATAACATATTCTATTTCAAATAGATCGATTTTTTATTAGTGGAGAGTGGGAGGCTAAGTACTCAGAGGTCACTTAGAGGAGATTAGGGAGGGCTTATTCTAATCATTTCCCTATTTTTCTATTTGGGAATGTGAGGTGTAATGGAAGAAGACCTTTTAGGTTTGAGGAGATGTGGCTAAAAGTAGAAGGATTTGGGGAGCGAGTACAGGATTGGTGGGCATCTTACGATTCAAGGGGTCTCCCAGTTATGTGTGAGATCAGAAATTGAAAGCTTTGAAGAGGGATCTAAAGAGGTGGAATTAGGATGTAGTGGGAGATTTTAGCTAGCATAAAAATCAATGCATTTTTAGATATAAGAAGAGTTGAATAGGAGAGAGGAGAGTCGATGACTGGTAGAAGATGAGAGGGAGAAACATGGAGAATTGAGGAGAGAGTTGGAGAGGTTAATGGGGATGGAGGAAATAGCTTGACGCTAGAAATCTAGGGTCAAGTGGTTAAAAGAGGGGGATAAATGTACCTAGTTTTTTCATAGGATCACTAATTTCAACGGGCATAAAAATTTTATCACTATGCTGGAGGTGGATAAAGCTACTTATGAGGACCCACAGGATATTGAGACCCAAATGATGAATTTCTATCAAAATCTTTATCGGGAGCAGTTTAATTGGAGACCCGAGTTGGGGGGGTTAGATTTTTCTACTATCACTGAGGAGGATGTTAGCTGTTTAGAGACCTTTTGGGGAGGATGAGATTAGAGAGGTGGTGTTCAGTATGAATGATGATAAAGCCGCAGGATTGGATGGATTTTCTTTCTCATTTTGTAAGGCTTGTTTGGAATTGTTACGATCGGACATTGTGAATGTCCTTACTTCTTTCTTTCAGTGCGATAGGTTCTTGAGAAGTTTTAATGCTACATTTATTGTGTTGATTCCAAAGAAATTGGGAGCGTTGGATGTTAAGGAGACTCGTCCTATCAGTTTGGTACATAGGATACAGAAGAATATTGCAAAGGTGTTGGTAAATATATTGAAAGAGGTGTTGGGGAGAGTGGTGTCTAAATTTCAGAATGCTTTTGTCAAAGTGCACCAAATATTAGATTCAGTACTTGTAGCAAATGAATGCATTGACTCAAGACTACGCATAGGGGTTTCTCGGATTTTATGTAAGTTTGATATTCAGAAAGCCTATGATTACATAAATTGGGGATTCCTTTTGTATATGCTTAGGCGATGTAGCTTCAGGGATAAGTGGTGCCGGTGGATTCAGTTCTGTAACTTTACGGTTTTCTTTTCATTTTTGGTGAACGGCACTCTTAACTCTTGAGGGTTATTTTTGGAGTAACAGCTTTGAGGCAAGGGGATCTTTTGTCTCCATTGCTATGGAGGCTTTCAATAGGATGCTTGAAAAGGCTGTGGGGGAGAGTCTATAAAAGGGCTTTATGATTGACCAAGTGTAGGTATCACATTTGTTATTTGTAGATGACACGTTGATCTTTTGTGATGCAGATGTTGAGCAATTCAGGAACTTGCATTATCTGCTTCTATGTTTTGAAGTCGTATCTGGATTGAAGATAAATTTGGGAAAATTTGAGGCTATCACAGTGGGAGATGTCGATAACGTGCTTAGGCCTCTCCTCCTGAAATGAAATCTGCCGGAACATAAAGCCACTCACTCTGAGTTGTGGAGCATGAAGCTCTCTGTGAGCCCACAAAAGCAGGAGGAGAGCTGAGATTAGTAGGGACGAAGCGAAAGTAAAGAAGAAAGCTACAGGCTGTGACTCCGGTCTTGTTCTCCCAGGCTCTGAGCCTGTACCTTGGAAGCCCTATCAAAAAAGGAGCTTGGCGGCTATATTGGATTGTAAGGTTGCATTGTTGCCTAAGTCATATCTTGGGCTTTCCTTAGGAGCACGATTTAAAAGTATACATATTTGAAACAGTATTATAGAAAGGGTGGAGAGGAGGTTAGCGGGTTGGAAGCGTATACATCTTTTTGTTAAGGGATATAATTTCATATTGAATGAAGATGAAAACATAGACCAATTTATATGGGTTTAGGTTACTCCTCTTAACAAGGTTGGCCTTTTAAAATGGAACCCCAAGTCTTAACATGGTATCAGAATCCATTAAGCTCAAACAAGCAATTCGATCTAGTTAAGACTCTAAAAATGAGCACACGGATTTCAAAATTGGTCTGCTCAAACGAGCCACCATCTTGCGGGGCATGTTAAGGGGTAAAAATCCCACATTAGTTAAATACTGAAATATTGACCAATTTAAAAAGATCTTGGGCTACTCTTAATAAGGTTGACCTTTTAAGATGGAACCCCAAATTTTAACATGATATCAGAGCCCATTAAGCTCCAATGAGCGGTTTGATTTGATTTAGACTCAATAAATGAGCATATGGATTTCAAGATTAATCTGCTCAAAAGAGCCAGAATCTTGCAAGGGCATATTAAGAGATATAATCCCACATTGAATGATGATGAAAACATAGACCAATTTATATGGGTTTGGGTTACTTCTTTTAACAAGGTTGACCTTTTAAGATGAAACTCCAAGTCTTAACACTCTCAAAGGGGGGCCGTCTTATCTTCATTAAGTCCACTCTATCGAATCTCCCTACTTATTTCTTGTCATTGTTTCTTATTCTTGTCTCAGAGGATTCAAAGAGAGTTTCGTTGGGGGAGGTTTAGGAGAGGAAAGGAAACTCCACTTGGTTAATTAGGATGCAGTTTGTTCTCCCATAAGGATGGAGGGTCTTGGATTGAGGAGCCTTGTATTGTTTAATAAGGCCTTACTTAGTAAATGGTTGTGGGGTTTTGGAGTGGAGAGAGAAAGCTTCTGGAGGCAAAATATGGTGTTATGGAGGGGGGATGGTGCTTAGTCGAGGTTCGTAGTTCTTATGGGGTAAGTCTGTGGAGATATATCCGACAAAGGTGGAGAGAATTTCAGGATAGAATGACGTTTGTGGTGGGAAATAGTAATATTATCAGTTTTTGGGAAGATTGCTAGTGTTGAAATCGACCTTTAAGAGTGGGATTTCCTTATCTGTATCGCATTGTTATGATGCCGTCTGCTATGGTGAATGATGTCCTAAATATACATATTAGGAGCTTCAGCTGGAACATTGTTTTTGGGAGGGGTCTGCAGGACTGGGAATTGGATGATTATGCATTGCTTCTGACCTCTTTGTATGAGGTGCACATCAGGGTAGGATAGGGTGATTGGAGCAGGTGGAGGTTGGCAAGGGATAGCATTTTCTCAGTTTGCTCTTATTTTAGATCCTTATTGGGACATGTGGAGAGCTCATTCCCCCCAAAAGATGGTATGGCAAATTAAACGACCCCCTCGAGTGACATTTTTACTATGGACGGTTGTGAGAGGACGGGTGTTAATGGTGGATAACCTCCAAATAAGGGTTTTTATGTTATGGAGTGGTGTTATTAGTGTAGGGGGAATGAGAAGACGATGTACCACTTGTTCGTTCTTTGTGATGGTGCTCGGTTGCTATGGAACGATATTCTAGTTTCTCAACAAATGGATTGGGTAATGCTGCGACATATGGAAGATATATTGAAGGCATGGAGGAGAAAAGTTCTTCACAAGAATGGCAAACTTGTCTAGGACCTTATTCCAGGTTGCATAGCTTGGTGTGTGGAGGGGAGCAATAGCCGCTATTTTGATGATCATGCATGGATTACAAAGCAGATTAGAGAATTATTTTATATGACATTGTATAATTGGTTTAATGCTGCAGTTACCAATAATATAGACGGGCTGTCCAATTTTATGTTGTTTCTTTCATGTATATATTGATAATACACTTCATGTGTATTATTCGTGATTAATAAAATATTTGTTTATTTACTAAAAAAAAAAAGAAGAGAATTCTCGTTCTGAATAAATTCCTGATCTCGGTGTCTAAATGTATGTGTTTCCATACTTTCTTTGTTTAAGTTTTTAACTGAAGGCAAATATCTGATTTCTAATTGTTAAAACTAATTTTGTTCCATGGTCATGTCTCTGTCTTTTCANAATACTATCTTCTAAAATTGGAAAAAGAAATTTGCCTAATTTATGATAAATAGTACACAAAATTAATCACCAAATCCCATAATTTAATCCCACGATTATAGGGATTTCTACAGCTAGTTATTGTGTGAAGAATGTTGTAGATTGATCCAAATTTCTTCTCTGTTATAAATTATGTGTTTCTGCTTTTGCTGCTTTCAAATCTGCATGATTTATTTTCAGTCTGGAGCTACTTGTTACCGCTGTTGTCTATATTCTGTTTTACGAGGAATTAATGCAACCTTATCCAGATAGACACACACATATTTGAATAACTGGTCTTGTAATAAGGATTTCAAGTTGTGGGAGGAAGTAGGATGGCCCAGAGAAAGATTGAATGCCCAAGAAAGAGTAGAATCCTGTTAGAATATTATATATTTTATTTAATAAACTTGTGTCCCTATTACAAAGTAAGATCCTATAAATAGGGCTACAAGTAACTCTAAAAGGAAATATTGTGTGGTAATCACACAATTAACTGTAAAGGAAAATAATCGCACACAATTGGGAAATATCATTGTAATGTAATTTTTGTAATCTTTCAATATATTTAACGTCCTTTCAAACTCAATATGGTATTGTAGAAACCAAAGTGAGTTTGAAAATTAAATTGATTTGAGCAAATCATCATTTCAAAGAAGTAAATAGTACTTCAGAATTGCATTTACATTGAATGTCGACTAAGCCAAGTAGCCAACCATGAACTAGAAACTGGTGTAAAAGAAACCCATTATTTACCATGAACATCACCAATATTTGAAGGAGACATTCACAAGTGTAACAAACAAAGACAAAGCTAGAACCTCAAAACAGTTTTAATAACTAGGCTGGCCAAGGATATATCATGTTTAATATTAGTATTTCGAAAATCCATGGGTTGTATCGGTACTCCACTCAAAGATGAAGGAGACAAAGACTGATCAAAGAGGAACCCTGGCCCACGAGGATGCTGAGGCAATGTGATAGAGATAATTTTGGTGGAAAAGAGCGCAAGATTACCTTTGAAACACAATGTCAAGTACGGATAGAAACAAAATTAAATTTATCAACGAGTCTCATATGAGATTATTGAATTCACAA